ATGAGGTACCTGAGCTTTGCAATTACTTTATTCACTCTCGTATTCTTGAAGATATCCTCACAGTATACCCAAAATTTGCCAGTGCAGGCTATTAAACACATGACTCTGTATGACTAACCATCCTGCGAGATGGGACTTGTATTACCACTGCTACCTTATTCAATCTTGTGTTGTTGATATCCTCAAAATGCATCCGGAGTCTGCCAGTGCAGACTCCGCAATCACATGCCTCTGTATGACTAACCATCCTGTGTGATGGGGATTTTATAGCATCACCTAGTTAGTTTTTTTTGACACACTGTACACCCACTTCATATAGTCTAGGGTAGCTGCACTAATGCAGATGTACCTAATATGTTAATAAAAAAAAAAAAAAAAAAAAAAAGGGTTAAGGGTGAGAACCATTAACTATAATGAATACTATTGTGGGTGGGGGGAGGCTGATAATAGAACAGTAATACTAATAATAATGGGTGCACTTGTTGCTACAATAATACTTTTGGCGGGAGGAGTGATAGTACCATCGTAATGTAAGCAGTTACACCATTAAATATATTAAATATTATAAATAATTCATGACACCCAAAACACCTAGCCGCGAGAAAAATATATTGTAAATATTATGTTTTGTTTTAAGATTCGCTACCTGGAACAAAGTTCCAGGTAGCACGGGCTATGGTGAGCCCGTAGTGGACGTAAATATTAATAACTCATCCAGTATTATATGGCAACACTGAGGCCTAGCAACCAATCGTTATTACGCGTTTAGTTTTTCAGTCATTTTCGTAGGGTTTATATTTGTTTAATGGGGAGAAAAGGTGAATAGTGAAGCTTTTATCGGCGGCCATCAAGACTGAGGAACGAGTCTTGAACGACATAATCGGCACAGATCATCCGCCATTACGGGCTATTCATGCCCGTGCCACCTTTTCGGTGGATTAATCTTTATCAATCAATCATCATCCGCCACGGGAGACATCACCCGTCACGCAGGGTGCAGTCGCACCTCTACAGACCTCCAGTATCAGCCCTTGATACTGGTAATGGCTCCAAAGGGCCACCACTTACGGGCTATTCATGCCCGTGCCACCTTTTGGGTGGCTTAATCTTCATCAATCAATCAATCATCATCCGCCACATTACACTTAGGTGCGTCCTGCCATCTACAAGATGAGAGAGAAGTACCGCATCACGCCACCTGCTTCTACCAAGCAGTGAGAATACAGTGCAAGATTACAGTGCAAGATTACAGTGCAAGATTGCAGTGCAAGTCCCCTGGGCTGGGTAACCTTATCCAACATAGAATACATATACTGTCACCTCTACAAATCTGTATTCACTTTCCCCCCTGCCTCCGAAGATGTTGCAGAGAGCTTCAGCGAAACGTGCCCTTTAGCAACCTACTTCAACCCTAATAAAACTGCAAACACAAAAAAAATGGAGTTAATTTTGAATTCCTTTCCATGAACATAAGAGCTTTATGTCATTGATCTAACCTTGTATTATCTCCTCGTGTCCACCCGGATGTATCAAACTGGAGACGTCGGCTACCAGAGAGAGAGAGTGAGTGAGAGAGAGAGAGAGAGAGAGAGAGAGAGAGAGAGAGAGAGAGAGACAGAGAGAGAGAGAGAGAGAGAGAGAGAGAGAGAGAGACAGAGAGAGAGAGAGAGACAGAGAGAGAGAGAGAGAGAGAGAGAGACAGAGAGAGAGAGAGAGAGAGAGAGAGAGAGAGAGAGAGAGAGAGAGAGAGAGAGAGAGAGAGAGAGAGAGAGAGAGAGAGAGAGAGAGAGAGAGAGAGAGAGAGAGAGAGAGAGAGAGAGAGAGAGAGAGAGAGAGAGAGAGAGAGAGAGAGAGAGAGAGAGAGAGAGAGAGAGAGAGAGAGGGAGGCGTAGACCCTCGTGAGCCACAAACTAGTGAACGTTTAATGCTCTCATAAAATAGATAAATAGACAGCCTTGTTAATGGAGAACGCCTCACACACCTGCTGGTGTTGGTTGGAAGGCTGGTGGTGGTGGTTGGGTGGTTGTAGGAAGGGGTGGGATAGGTGGTTTGAAGGAGTAATGTAGGGTTGACTGGTAGGGGGGATGGATGGTTGGGACAGAGGGAGAGCGAACGCCAGCTCCTGGAACTCAATCTTTGGTTAGGAATTTATATATGGAGTATTGGTGGTAGTTGTAGTAGAAGTAGTGGGATAGTAGTAGTAATAATAGTATAGTTGTAAAGTAAGTGGACATAAAGGTTATCACTCGTGACAGCTGGCTAGTCCGTCATCACTTGTGACAGCTGGCTAGTCCGTCATCACTTGTGACAGCTGGCTAGTCCGTCATCACTTGTGACAGCTGGCTAGTCCGTCATCACTTGTGACAGCTGGCTAGTCCGTCATCACTTGTGACAGCTGGCTAGTCCGTCATCACTTGTGACAGCTGGCTAGTCCGTCATCACTTGTGACAGCTGGCTAGTCCGTCATCACTTGTGACAGCTGGCCAGGCCGTCATCACTTGTGACAGCTGGCCAGGCCGTCATCACTTGTGACAGCTGGCTAGTCCGTCATCACCCATGACAGCTGGCCAGGCCGTCATCACTTGTGACAGCTGGCCAGGCCGTCATCACCCATGACAGCTGGCCAGGCCGTCATCACCCATGACAGCTGGCCAGGCCGTCATCACTTGTGACAGCTGGCTAGTCCGTCATCACTCATGACAGCTGGCTAGGCCGTCATCACCCATGACAGCTGGCTAGTCCGTCATCACTCATGACAGCTGGCTAGTCCGTCATCACCCATGACAGCTGGCCAGGCCGTCATCACTCCCACAAGACGCTAAACATTTACATCACTACAATATAAAACATCTCACATTACTAGACCGTAAACGCTATTATCATCAGGGGGGCGTTGCGAAGCCTTCATATACTCAAGACGTGACCTAATTCACGGACATCTTAAGAGGTTGTTACCACCATTTGTGTCACAACCGTTACAGAATATGACGTTCTTGTCTGCGTGGAGGTGTTTGTGTCGGCCGCTGTCACCGACGCGTGTCGGAGGCTTCGACGTGTTCTTCGTTTAATAGAACGTTACATTAACTGCAGATTTCACTGATGTGGAGCATCGTAGACTCGGATTCGGGTCTTAAAATTACGAGGCCGTTGTTCTACCAACTAGGCCATGGATTCTCACATCTTGGTTGGATGGTTGGTTGGTGGCAAGTTGCATATGGTTCATGGTGCTGCTGGAGATCCATAACACACTTTTCCCATTTTTTGTTAATGGCGGAACTTGGGTGCGGGTATCATGTCCATTTACCCAAAAGTTCCTCAGAGCCGTGGCGGGTCCCACCACCGCTGGGTGTGGTGGTGACCAGGTGTGGTGGTGGCCAGGTGTGGTGGTGGCCAGGTGTGGTGGTGGCCAGGTGTGGTGGTGGCTGGGTGTGGTGGTGGCCAGGTGTGGTGGTGGCCAGGTGTGGTGGTGGCCAGGTGTGGGCCGGGAGGTGTGGTAAAGCGGCTGTGGGGTTTTCTTAAAAACCAAAGTTTACATCTTTGTAAAAAGATGTAAACTAATATCTCAGTTTTTCTCTTCAAGGATGATTTTCATGGTCTGGTTTACCCTTTGTCGTTTGTTGATGTTGTTTAAAATTCGCTACTTGGAACTTTTTTGTTCCAAGTAGCACGGGCTATGGTGAGCCCGTAGTGGACTTTTTTCTTGCCCTTTGTCGTGGTGCCGAGCCTTTTCACAACCCTCCCGGTATTCTCTCCCTCTTTTCTGTTTGTTTTTCCTTAACTAAGTTTAGGAGTTCATTAGGAACGGCGTTGTTGTTCTAAACGAAATTCCAAGCTAAGAAATCTTATCCTAGACTCTAACTGTAGGTACTCTTTTATTTAATGAGCTTATTATCAGTATCCATTGACATTAAGCTAAATTACTATCTCTCCTAGTTACGGTTTGTTGCGATTCAGAGAACTACGGGCTCACCATAGCCCGTGCTACTTGGAACTTTTTGTTCCAAGTAGCGAATCTCAACAACAGATTCAGAGGAAATCTATCTTGAGAGAGTAGTCGAGGTGCTGAAAATTAAAGTCGACTGTGTTTCCTTGGTTGTCGTGTTCCCACGTGTCCGACTCCACAAGAACCGGATCTTGAAGTAATCGTGAGATTACTAGCTGGAACCTCTGAGAACGACCACTCGCGCCCTTACGCCCTTCGAAGATCAAGATCACTGGAAGACATGACGCTGCAAGCTGAAGGAATTAAAAAGTGATCGCTGGCCGCAGCGCGAGAGAAACCTCGCACCAGTGATCAGTTTTCGCCATTTTTAGAAAGCTTATTAAGCTTCCCGTGAAGCTGCGAGGCTCAGCAGATGATCCCCCACAACCTCAGCAATTAGAAAATAAAAGTATAGCCTGAAAGTGGAATTTTTGTTGGCTATTAATACATGCTGGAGCTTCACTCCATCGGTTCATTAGCTTCTCAGTCCCAGTCCCACTATCAGGATATCTAAAGTTATATTATCTTTATCATTTTATATATTTACCAGTTCGGTAATTTGATGAGTAACTGTGTTTATGTTTTAAATGTATTGCTCCATATTTTTTTTATTATCTTTACATTTTTATTTTACATTGGATAACTTTATTTTCATTTACATTGGATAACTTTATTTTCATTTACATTGGATAACTTTATTTTCATTTACATTTGAAAGCTTCTCTTTTGCAAAGAATTTTGTAATCGCATTTTTGAGCAGGATTGAAGGGACAGAAACCATTCTTTGGGGGAGTGACTGAGGAAGATATGTAAATAATTGGATATTTTTGGTTCATGATCTAAAGTGTTAAAAAAGTATCCTCCGGTTCCTATACGTCCCATTCCTCTCCCATATATTTTTACGTAGATTTAAAATAAAAACAAAAAAACAAGATATCTGTTTTAGATATCTGATATATATAAAACAGATATCTGATATCTATTACATAAATATCTGTGGTTTACACTGTCCAGTCTGAGCAAGTTAAGTTTTATGAACTTATGTTAAGTGCTGTAAGTTTCAAGTATGTACAACGAGGCTTTATCAAAGTAACTTTGAGGAGAGAGTGCTAAGATAGTATGATTAGCACTTGTATGGGGTAAGAGGACAAGGACCTGGGATATAAGGAAAAAGGTGTCGATCTACTACGGTCATCTGCGATCGAAGCGAAGCCGTCTTTCTACCGACCGTTCCAAGAGGATAGACTGAGACTTTCTCAAGACATCACACACGAAATAAAAATACAAAAAAATGATTTTAAGTGGCACTATACTGTTCAATTTCAACATGTACACTTATTTTTTTCTAACTAAAATATTCCAAGTATCGAGTCCATATAGAAGTAGAAGTGGAAGTCTACTTTTTTCACACCTTAGAAGTAGACCCTCTCAAGGCAATCTACCGAACAGAAACTTGCCAGATGAAAAAAAAAGAGAAAAGCATGTAGAGACAAAAATAAATAACATCATAAGGAATTTCTATCATAAAATCCTACTTTGGAAGAAGTATAGAGACAGGACCAATGGCTACATGGCTCTGCCTCCTGGTCCCCGCCTCGGGCGCCGCAGCTGTTTGACAGACACGCACAGAGAGTGAACTTGGCATTGGTTGTTGACGCTACACTTTACACCTTCGTGTCAGGTGTGGGAGGCGAGGACTGCTGTTTATGTACCATCAGGCTCTGGCTCTCAGGGAGGTGAACTTTGCAAGCATCACTGCAACAGAACGAGTGAACCTTGCAAGCATCACTGCAACAGAAAGAGTGAACCTTGCAAGCATCACTGCAACAGAACGAGTGAACCTTGCAAGCATCACTGCAACAGAACGAGTGAACCTTGCAAGCATCACTGCAACAGAACGAGTGAACCTTGCAAGCATCACTGCAACAGTGAGGTCAATTAAAACCAACCCGAACACCTGTCCAAAATACTGGAGGACGACCACGCGTCTGTCCACCTGGTCGTCCTGGGCAAAGTTGGTCTAAAAGCCTATCCATGAAGGAGAAGTCGTTCTTCATGTCGTGTGTATGTGCTGGATTACCACATGACACTAAGGACGCTTCGACCCTTTACAACATAATTTCCAGATGTGACTTTTCTCTCAGGGACACAAGTTCGATCCCATTGTAGGGCTTCAGTAGTGTCTCTTATAACCACATTCTTGTGATTTAATTGTCTGTCAGTTTGTAAACAATTGTGATGAGAAAGCTTTGGGAAAACAAATGTATATTATTTTCTTAAGTAACGCGAGGAAAAATGAATGTTAACTAATTGGGTCCTTATATTGGAAGAATTACAGGTATATGTTGAGAAGTGCTCCGGGCGCCGGGTCTGACGACGGAGGCTCACGTGAGAGACTATAGCAGAAGGCGAGGGAAAGTTACGCTATTTGTTACCTTGACACTGAGCTCAAACTCTTGGCGTGTGAGACGACCCAATCACCGCCAGACCACACGGACTCTACCGTGTATAACACGACCCCCCAATCGCCTGGCGACACAGACCTTACACGACCCCAATCGCCTGGCGACACAGACCTTACACGACCCCAATCGCCTGGCGACACAGACCTTACACGACCCCAATCGCCTGGCGACACAGACCTTACACGACCCCAATCGCCTGGCGACACAGACCTTACACGACCCCAATCGCCTGGCGACACAGACCTTACACGACCCCAATCGCCTGGCGACACAGACCTTACACGACCCCAATCACCTGGCGACACAGACCTTACACGACCCCAATCCAGTCCGTCCTCCTAAGGTGTGTCCCAACGTCAAGAAAACGGTCAAAACGTGTCCTCTTCTAACCTACCAGAGGACCCAAAACAGAAAACGGGACAGTACGTTACTTTCACCAGCCGCTTCCATTTTCTAGTACGACAATTTTTTTGGCCTTGTGTAACACATACGCTCGATAAGCGACGTTCTTGGTAGGACAGGTTGAATTATAACCCTTCGCCACGTACCATCCCGCACCACACGAAGGAATTAAACATTTAACATTAGAACATTTAACATTTACAGTCTCCGTGGTGTAGTGGTAAGACACTCGCCTGGCGTTCCGCAAGCGCTATGTCAATGGTTCGTGTCCTGGCCGGGGAGGATTTTCTAGGCGCAAATCCTTAACTGTAGCCTCTGTTTAACGCAACAGTAAAATGTGTACTTGGATGAAAAAACGATTCTTCGCGGCGGGGATCGTATTCCAGGGACCTGCCCGAAACGCTACGCGTACTAGTGGCTGTACAAGAATGTAACCACTCTTGTATATATCACAAAAAAAAAAAAAAAAAAAAAAAAAAAAAAAGACGTATCTTCAGTGTTTCTTGGCTACTTATCTAAGAGCTCAAAGCACACACTTAACAAGACAGCTTAAATCTTGGTGAAACTACCGCCTTCAGGTGGTCGCTTCCACTCATGATCTGGAACATAAAACATTTGGAGGTGAAAATTGAAAAAAACGAGTTTCGAACAAGAGTGAAGAATGGGGGAAGTAGGGTTCACCCTGATGCACCTGTCCACATAAATAGGTACCTGGGAGTTAGACAGCTGCTACGGGCTGCTTCCTGTGTGTGTGTGTGTGTGTGTGTATGTGTGTGTGTGTGTGTGTGTGTGTGTGTGTGTGTGTGTGTGTGTGTGTGTGTGTGTGTGTGTGTGTGTGTGTGTGTGTGTGTGTGTTTTTATGACCTCTCAGCGGTTGAACCCTAAATTCTGAGGTGTCAGTCATCTGTTGCAAGGACTCGTGACCCACTTAATTCCCAGCAAACGAACCCTTCAAGCTGTGTATATAGTGAGCCACACCTACTCTCTCTCCCCACCCTAGCACGCCGGCCACTCACCCTGAAGACATGTGCTACCATGATTCACCAGCCACCACCTCCCAATCACGTCCGTAGAACCAATAGAACAATAGAACCTCCGTGTTCTATTGTTCCCCCCATACTACACATCCCAGGCCTTATCTTCTCTGTCAGGCCTTATCTTCTCAGTCAGGCCTCCGCCAGAGGCCTCTCTGTCTCCGTCAAAATACCTCTCTTGTTTAGGATTTGAGTTCCCTTATTACTGGATTACCCTTATAGAAAACTTCTTAACTTTCTCTTATTTTTATCTGAGGTGTGATTTGAGGTATGATTTGGTGTTATTAAGTTTGTTTTTCTTTAAGGCGCGAGTCATTTGTTTCTGCAGCGACATCTTTTTCTTTCGTGTATTAGTGTCTTACGACCTGTCTTGCTGCGTTCTCCATCCTCCTTCACAACATTCTCATTGGCTGACTTACAGGTCGGGCAGGTCAGTAGGTGATTTACAGGCATAACGTTAAACTTTTCGCAGCGGTCTGAGAGCTCATGCCTTTCTCAGCTGTCTAATAACTTATACTTTTCCTGTAATGGGCGTATCGTCGCAAGCGCTGTGTAAATTGTACATGGTCAGCTGTAGTGTGCACCAGCAAGGACGTGGTCAGCTGTAGTGTGCACCAGCAAGGACGTGGTCAGCTGTAGTGTGCACCAGCAAGGACGTGGTCAGCTGTAGTGTGCACCAGCAAGGACGTGGTCAGCTGTAGTCTGGACCAACAAGGTGAGTGGACGTGGCCAGAATCCTTGACTAAACTTGATGAATGTTTAAATGTAGACCTCTCCCAGCTGATGAAAGAGCCGTCGATGGTTAAAACCGTTGTAATTGCCAAATGGCTTAGTATGTAATATTTGTGTGTGTGTGTGTGTGTGTGTGTGTGTGTGTGTGTGTGTGTGTGTGTGTGTGTGTGTGTGTGTGTGTGTGTGTGTGTGTGTGAGTATCGTCCAGAGTAGCACTGTATCTTCTAATTTATGTATCCTGGTGCTCTTACAGCTGAAGACAACTATCACACAGCATTATACATTATACTTTATCAGCGAAAACCTCATCTCCAATTATATCTTAACAGTATAACTGTTACTGTCTTATACCTGGCTTTAATGACACATTTATCAGATAAGATGAATTATACTGCACGATGAGAGAGATTACTGTAATAATTAGTCTTCACGAAGTAATAGAAACATCTTCAACAAGGGACCACAACATGAAGTTTGTAACAAGGAAATTAGATTGTATAGTGATGCTACAGTTATGTACCGTGAGATGACTTTTTAATTACCTGATTAGTAATTAACTATCTTTTAAGTGTGTTGAATTAGTGTTGGAAAAGGTAAAGGAAGCGTCATCGTCGTTACAACTGACCTGTTCTGGAAGGCTAATTACATCTTGGCCATTACCAGTTTCCAAAATGGCGGATTTTCTTTCTAACTTCATCTATATTTTCCTCTTTTTGATTTCTATCTCTTCGGAAGTCGTATTCACCCCTCATCTAGATGCTTACCTTATATCTGGGGTAGTTCTTGTACTTCTTATTGCAGTTCAAAACTGTTGGCTTGGTCAGGTCATTTGACCTCGTGTACATGGTTGAGTTATTAGCCTCCCACTGCAAACCTGCTTCTCTGATTTCTCTATTTGTCTCTTCTATCTCTGCTTCAGTAGCTCCTGCCATAGTAAAACTTCACTTCCTGCTAGTGTGAAGTTTCTTCTGGTTCTCCTTATAAGATTCACTTGGTTTTGCTATGAAGTTCACTTTGCTATGAAGTTCACTTTGCTATGAAGTTCACTTTGCTATGAAGTTCACTTTGCTATGAAGTTCACTTTGCTATGAAGTTCACTTTGCTATGAAGTTCACTTTGCTATGAAGTTCACTTTGCTATGAAGTTCACTTTGCTATGAAGTTCACCCGGTTCACTTCTCTCCGGCTGGTCGCTCTAAGACACGCTAAATGATCACACTGACCCATGTCTTCACAAGCACCAAGCTTATCCTCCAAGCACTGCCGTGGGAACTGAAATTGTTCAAAGTCATGAATTTCTCTACGAGTTGCGTTTACCTGCGTCCAGGTAGTGTGAGGTGGAGGTACCTACACTCCAGGTAGTGTGAGGTGGAGGTACCTACACTCCAGGCAGTGTGAGGTGGAGGTACCTACACTCCAGGTAGTGTGAGGTGGAGGTACCTACACTCCAGGTAGTGTGAGGTGGAGGTACCTACACTCCAGGCAGTGTGAGGTGGAGGTACCTACACTCCAGGTAGTGTGAGGTGGAGGTACCTACACTCCAGGCAGTGTGAGGTGGAGGTACCTACACTCCAGGCAGTGTGAGGTGGAGGTACCTACACTCCAGGCAGTGTGAGGTGGAGGTACCTACACTCCAGGCAGTGTGAGGTGGAGGTACCTACACTCCAGGCAGTGTGAGGTGGAGGTACCTACACTCCAGGCAGTGTGAGGTGGAGGTACCTACACTCCAGGCAGTGTGAGGTGGAGGTACCTACACTCCAGGCAGTGTGAGGTGGAGGTACCTACACTCCAGGTAGTGTGAGGTGGAGGTACCTACACTCCAGGCAGTGTGAGGTGGAGGTACCTACACTCCAGG